GAAGACCTTTCAGGAAATGGTACCTCAAAAAATTATTTCTCCTGTGGCAGCAATGACATTTCCGACATAAGCACTTACGAAGAAGTAGGTGACATTGGTGGTCCAGTGAACCACCATCCCCATCATTCATCTTTGTAAGATTTTTCCCCTCAAGGTCAGGCTGCACCTGTACCTTGTTTTAACCAATAGAATATGTAAGAAGTGACTCTACTCCAATTCTGAGCCTTCAGAAGCCTTACAAAGGCCTGAAAGTTCCCACTTTTGCACCCAAGGGAACCCTGAGCTGCCACATAGGAAGTCAGGCTCCGCTAGAAAAGGCCACTTGGAGAGGGTGAGGCTCTGGAACCAGCTGTCGCCTCCTTCCTGCCGAGCCCAACCTTCCAGTCACCCCATGAAGGCATCAGACAAGGGACTGAGACCATCATGCATGTTCCAGCATCAGCTGCCATCTTACTGCAAAAAAGACCATAGAAAACCCATCCAGATGAACCCCAGTCAACTCACAGAGTTGTGAGAAATAATAAACTGGTGGCTGTTTCTTTCTCTTTTGTTTTTGGTCTTTATTTTTTTTATTTTTTTTACTTTATTCTGTACCAGGAAGCTTTGGGGATCTTAGTCCTTGACCAGGGATCAAACCTGCAGTAGAGGCATGGAGTGCTAACCACTGAACCACCAGGGAATTCCCTGGTTGCTATTTTAAGCCACTGTGTTTGGGGATGGTTTGTTATTTAGCAATAGATAACTGACAGAGCAGCAAAAGAATAAAAAGGCTTCTGACTGTGTAAGGTGATTTACTTTTTCCATCCTCTGCACAGCCAATAATACCCTTCCATCAGTCTTCCTCCTTAACTCAGAACCACAACAGTAGAATATGACACCGCTGAGCAAGATTTCATCTTACTGGAGAAGTTCTTTCAACAGGACTGCAGTTGGAACAGACTGCATACGTGAAACAAAAGATCCTAATAGAAACTGATGTTTGAAAGAGTTAGGCATCCAAATGCATTACTGTAGCTGCTGCTGCTCCACTGACTTCTGCTGGCGAACATACGGCAGTACCTCTTCAGAGCTAACTTGCCAACAGAAGGTCAACATGCCTTGCCTAAACACAAGGCTGACAAATTTGGGATCTTAAGTATGATGTCATGTCTTAAACTGATAAGCTGGCAGAGAAAATAAATGACATTTCGTAAAGATGTGTACCATTCTCATGTTTATGCTACTTAAGATGAAGGTTCTAATAAGTCATCGGCTGTGTTCCTTTAAAGGGAAGTTTTATAACTGAGATGAATCACAACTGCAAAAGATCAAAGTTAAAAAACATCAATGATGCCATGGGGTACTTTTTAATCTTGTAATGAGTGATGATCATGTGCTCTTATGAAGTTCGTCCAACTGCCAGCGCCAGATGTGTATATTAAGAGAAGGAGTTGTTTGTGATGTGACAGTACCCGTTCAGCTGCCAGAGACAGAAAACATAGAAGGATGAAACCTTTCTGATTTTTTGATTGAAAAGCAAGCCTTGGCAGATGGGCTGATAAGTGGGGCCTCCGAGGACGGCATCAGTGCCCTAGCATCCTCTCTTGGACTTTGCTGTGAACAAACTGTTCATCATCAGTTCTGCCCAGCTGTCCCCAGGCAGCATGAATACCTGCTCTGGCACAATTTATAATACTTATTAGTGTCATTTACTAATGAGCAGAAATTAGTAAAGCCATCTGCAAGAAAAGAAAAAACTATTACCCGAGAGAACAGAAGCTAGATGGTATCTATTTCCTGGAAGTGTACTCTAAGCAAAAACTACAGCAAACTTCTGACGCTGAAACTGATGTAATAACAGCTCATGCTTACTGAGCACTTACTACCCGATAGTCCCTGGGCTGTGCATTTTAGATACATGACCTCACTTACCATCTTTGCAGCAACGGATGAGGAAGATACTATTATTAGTCTTCCCACTATATTATTAATTATTTTTCTCACTTTAACTGAGGCCAAGAGAACTTAGGTAACTTGCCTACCACCACACAACTGGTGAACGGTGGTGTCCTGGGCTTTCAATCCAGACAGCCTGATACAAAAGCCCACACCCTTAATCACTGTCCTATTGCTGAGTAAAGACCCAACCAGTTAACCCGGAACCTGTCCTTGTTCAAACAGCTCATCTGCCGGAAGTAGCCTTTTCCACTTCTACTGTGATCTTCTGAAGAAGGAGTGAAATTCCATTAACAGGTATCAAGAGAGTAAAGTACTCAATCCCTTCAAACTTTTGCAGTAATAAACAGATGTACACTCTTTCAATGACAACCATTACTTACAGAATTAAAATTTTGTGGGACACGATTCTAAAACAACTGCATTCACTGTCTTTTTTTTTTTTCTCCCTTCAGGAAAGCCTTTTCCTAAAGCTCTTCTCTGTTAATGGTTGAGACAATGAGCCACTTTGAAGAAGTCTAGAACAGTGGTCGGCAAACCACAACTTGTGTGCCAAATCTGACCCCCTCTCCATCTATTTTTGTAAATAAAGCTTTATTGATATGCAGCCACTACCCTTTGTTTATGTATTGGTGAAGGCTGCTTTTGAGCTACACTGGTAGAGTTGAGTCCCTGTGGCAGATATCATTTGACCCAGAGAGTTGAAATCATTTCCTATCTGGCATGTTACCAAAAAAAGTCTGCCAACCCATGTTCTAGAGGATTCTTCATTTAACATTATATACACACCTATCAATTAAAAGCCTTCAACTCACAGTTGAAGGAAATTGAAAATCCTGGGCATTTTCCACACCTGGGAGTCTCAAAACTAAAGAACAATATTGAGAAGAGGGTTTTACTTACAACATTCAATGCTCAGAAGGCCAAGAGCAGAGCAGAAGGAAATAACCCTGTGCTGAGAATACAGGTTGTAGGATTAAAATGTTACTGATACCAGACACAGCCAGACACTGAGTTTGGCCAGTCACCCTGTGATGTCAGAGAAATGACATCACACTTCCACAGATATTTTTGGTTTGTGAGCAGATCTAGGGCAGTGGTCGACCACTCGATTTCTGTATCTGCTTCTCCCCAGCACCTTCAGCAGCATCAAGCCTAAACTCAGGTCACATGTGTACTGTCTGCTCTATCCCTAACTCTCACTGCTTTCAGAGCACTTCTCTGTCTTCACAGGGACTGGGCCTAGCAACTGTTAATTCTGCCAACGGCCTCCTGGGAATGAGGTGTTATTACCCTTGCTTGAAAGAGAAGTGACTCTCCCAAAGCTATTCTACCTCCTTCTTCTGTCACGACTTTCAGAATGAGGCAGCACTCGCCTTCCCCAGCTTCCTCTCCCAACCATCATGTCTGAGCATCAACGTGTGAGCATCTGGAGATATACTCAGAGACAGAGACACATACACACACACACACAATGATGGTTTTTCCAAGAACTGAGAAAAGCAGCTGAGATCAGCAGGAAACATCTTTACGAGATAAGTATTAGTCGTGTTAAATGTGAAAAGACTACCATCCTGCTTGGTACATTATTAAGAGGGATGCCCCTGCCTTTTCAGGAACTAGGGGGCTAATCAGATAAAATGCTAGATGTCTTCCATCTTAAGCCATCGTTCCAGATGGACAGCAGTCCAGAAAAGTCAGGCAAAAATCCGAAATCAGGCCAGAGAGCCCTATGGTGATCCATTCACCTGCACTGCATGATCGCTGGCCCCGAGCACCAGAGACGGGGCAACCAGAGAATTGTGTGTGGCCACCACCGCCTAACAGGACACTCTTAACCTGAGCGGACAGAGCCAGCGCTCCCAGTGTTGGGAAACCTAGAAGAACGGCATACACATGAAAGGAGGAGAAAAGAAAAACCTCAAAGACTGACTTTTCAGGCAGGAAACCTCCCTAGTTTGGGCGAGCAGTCAGCCTTCGTGACAAGAGACAGTGGCGAGAGGAGCGGAAGGTAACACGCCTTCCCATCGCTCAAGGACAAGCGGCCCCAGGGGCAGAAGGGAGGCAAAACTTCACCAGCCCTTTGCTCTCAATTTTAGGGGCAGAAGAGCTATGCCATTGTCTTGGCAGGTGTATCATTATATAACAAAGATTTCTGCCAGCTGTCCCTCCACCACAAGCCAAATTAAACTCTCAAAACACAAAGGCTACATCTCCAATGGATTCACTCATCAAAGGCAGAGTTCTGTATGATGTTTCCATTGGCACGGAATTTTTAAGGTTGTATATATTAAATAATCTTTAATCCTTAAACATATTTAAATTAGGCTCTGGTAAGTATGTTCAAATCAGTTTTAGGGGCGGAGGGGGGAGTAAACTTGTTTTAATTTAGATTTAAGAGGAAAATGATATTAGCCCAAATGGATGATGGGCACGGCCTTCAAATGATGCTGGTTCAACCTTCCAGATGTCCCAGGAGACAAATAAACCAAGGTGGATTTAAATCTGGCTTGACTCTATCTGCTAAAGAAACTACCTATGGCAATTACTAGAACATGAGCAAACAACAGTGTTGTAACAATCAAGCAAGTTATCATTTGCAAATAAATTCTTTGTAATTAAGCAGTGTGCTCTCTATAAAGGGAATTGAGTGGGCGAGTTAAAAAGTTAAAACACATTCTTAGACCATGGGAAACACACGCAAAAGCTTTTTGACTAAGCTCAGGACTTTTCAGTTTATTGTTTTCTTCCTCAGCTCTCGTGGGGCTGTTCTGCCTCATCTATTGTGTCCAGTGGATGAGCAGAATTTTTTAGCAAAAAAACTTAGAGTAACGGAAATTCACAAAGTTATGTTGGGCTTAGCAATTTTGAGGCAAAGGTGAAAAGTGTAATTTGATTTTCCACTAACTGTGAAGATCTAATTGCCCCTCGTAAAAATACATTCAGATAGCAAACTTGGCAAAGAAACTCTTCACGTGGAAGTAGCACTAACTTATCTTGGATAAATTCCTCACAGGGTCTCCACAAACTCTATTCCCATTTCCAATAGGAAGGCAAGCACTTACTTCTGGGTTCCCGGGGTCCATCCACTGTGACTTTAATAGCTCTGTGATAGGTGGCTACTTGGGGAGGATTTGTGAAGACAGTTATGGTCAAGGTGAAACTCTTGCCTGCAGGTAGAAAAAGGAAAATCCACAGTGAATATAAAAAGACAGTATTGATGATAAGATGGCAGTACTAATGTCTTCATGGGGTCGCAAAGAGTCGGACACAACTGAGCGACTGAACTGAACTGACTGTCTGCATCGCATTTAAGCATCTTTGAAGAAGTAACCGAACATGAACAAGGGTCAAGACTCCTTATTCTAATGATGGCCATTCTAATGATGAACCCTCTGATGGCCATTTTAGGGAGTCACTAAGATCATGAACACAAAAGTCCTCATCTTCATGGCAGTCTTGGACAAGGAGGCTCCAACTTCAAAAACGAGTTACTCAGTAGCAAGAGCTCTAATAGAAACAAAAACTCTGGACCACTTGAAGAGGGTTCTCTCTGCTTTCAGTTTTTCTACATCAGGAACACATCCAAGCAGACAATTTTAGAAGTCTTTATTTAGGATTAGGTCATGACCCCGTGAGAGAACAATACTAAATCACTGTTGATTATGCTATTGACTTCACATGGCTTTAGCATTTCATTTGCTTAACTGCACTACAATGAGAAGATGAAAGAGGAAGATTCTTATGGGAATCATTTTAACAGGAGCCAGTGTCTCCCGTCCTGGCCTTAATGTGCCTGTGGTATGATGATTTCATCATTACTGGAACAAAGTTTCTCTCCTCCCTGCCCACCCCTTCCCTAACATACCTCCTCGTCTAAGAGCAATCTTGAAATGACTCCCTGACAGTAACTTATTTTTGGCTAAATGTACATGACATCTCCCAATGTAAATATGAACGCTTGCTTTCAGCAGAGGGTGTGCTTCACTGAAAAAGTACATTTGATGTTTCAAATTAATGAGCTAAAAAAAGGTGATGAAGGCGGGGGTGGGTTGGGGGGGGGTGGAAGGGGGAAGGGTGGCAAAAATGATGGGGAGAAGTTTGGGTGCAGATCTGGCTGTTTGCTTTCTCCAGAAGATACCAGACTGCTACCCAGACTCACTGACAGTTGTAATCAGTTAGATTTGCGACGGTTAGTCATGTCAGATAGTCAAAACTGCAAACTGTTACAAGACAGGAAAAGGTGGGCGTGAAGCAGTGACTCAATAAAACATTCAGCAATCTCAGGCCAGTTAGCCTGCTCCTGGGACCGGAGCTTTGAAAAGCTCCTTTCCTTTTGCTTTGGTTTTTTTTTTTTTTGTTTTTGGTCAAAGACTGTTTTTCCCTTTACTGAAAGCAGAGAGTATGAAATCAAAACACAAATCTTAAACAATATGTAGCAACACAGAGTTTAATGCAATCTTTTCAAAGCTTAATATGGAACAGGTTGTAGAGGAGGCTTAATGTAGAACAGGTCTTTGGCTGTCAAGTCTAGTGAATGGGTTTTCTTTTCAACCCAGACCATGTAAGTTCCTAAAATATGTTTAAGACACATATCATTTGTTACTAGGCATATATAGTTTTAAGTCTCTTTGGCTACCCTGTGGCCAAGAAGGTGGAGTGGGGGAAGGAAAGAGAGAAAGGCAGGGGGAGGGAAATGTGAGGAAAGTGAATATTGATTAGAAACCTCTGAAGTACCAGTCACGTCATACACATTATCTCATTTAATCCCACCCACTCAGGTTTATCACCCTCATTTCACAAATAAGGAAACTGAAGCTCAGAGAATCTTACTAATTTAACCACACAACTAATAAGTGGAAAAAAATCAGGATCTGAAACCAAGTCTTCCAGACCCTAAAATTAATGCTCTTCTTTTCAACTTTGTTAGAGAACATTTTTAGACACTAATAGGTAATTTATTGCTACATGTGTCCCAAACAGCTCTATCAGACCAAGAAACAAATAGAAATCTACTAATGAAGTATGTCAGCCAGAATGATGAAATCATCTATCTTTAAAGTGTAACTGATATTCTGTATTTCATCCATGATACATTGAATGTTACATGGATTTAAGAAATTTAATTATCTGGTTAGGGAACAGAGGATTTATTATAAACGTTAAGACTAACCAGAAGAATAAGGCAGCCAGGAGTCTGAACTACTCACAGAAAACTGAAAGTCTACAGAAATGGAGATTAGAAAGTTGAGTTAGGAAGCCACTGGATCCAGATTAGGACCTTAAAACAATGGGAAGATCTGGAGGAGTGAACAGGCTGAACTCCTAGATTGAAATTCAATTTGCATTAAACCATTAAAAAACAAAAAAAAAAAGATCCATTCTGGGTTGGATCAATGGCTTATGAGCCAGGACTGTGTTTCTAACAGTGCTTCAAGAGTGGTGCTTAGAAGACAGTTGTCATCCATGGCACGAATCTTCATAAATCAAGGATGTACACATCTCAATTGTCCTTAATGATTCTTAATAACCACAAGAGACAGTGCCCATGAATCTACCTAAACCATTTCTGAGAATATTGCTGTTTGAGACTTTCACAATGTACTCTGGATATTAAAATGCATTGATGCTTCTCCACAATTCATAGAAACACCTCACATAGGAACAAAAGAAGGTGAAATATAAAATTCACCATCCAATATTCACAACAGAACTGATTTTCTATAAAGACTTCATTTTAAAGAGTTGGGTCTGAGAGAAAGGAAACCAATATGAAAGTGTGACTGAAGTCTTCTAAAATCAAATCCTAAGAATCAAGATGTACTTTAACAACTAAAACAAAAGCCAACGAGGTTCCTCCCACTTCTCACTGCCCCTTCAGAAGCAGTATGAACCTAATGGTTCCAGAAACTATCACCCAACTAGGTCATTTGCTCTTGTCCCTATAAACAGTGATACATTTCTGAAGTCAAATGTTTATATGAGTATTCATGACTTACTCCCTTAAATTTAAAAAAATTTTCCAAATCCCATTGTTTACTACTCTCCATAAGTGATAAAAAAAATGCAGGCTCTTACTTAGGGAGCTAGCACTCATTAGACAACTAACTGCAGCATCCTTAGCTTCATCTAGGAACTAGTTCTGCAATATGTCCTCAAGTCATATATTTTCTGAGATACACATAGGACCTGTCATTGAAAGACAGTTCCAACCTGGCCCGAGGGGCTGTCAGAAATAGTGGGGAAAGTTAAGACTATAGGCACAGATTGTATCCGGAATTGACAAAGTACCATGCTCTACACACTACAGGTGTGTAGAAGTGCTTGTAAATTAAAAGCAACTCACTTCATGTCAAAAGTGAGGAAGCACACCAAGAAAACTTAAAGACCAGAGTCACTTTCAATACTTTGCTTGAAATATAAAGGAGAAAAAGAGAAAAGACAATTGAAAAATGTAAGCCACTCTCCACTGAATCCAAGTTTCACCAATGCTCTACTCGTATTCCAAAACACTTCCAAAAACTGTGGTCCTCGGATAACCCATAATGCCAGAGTAAGTAGCAACGTGACTGCTTTATAAATTGAAAACTGTTTTTTTAATTCCTGAGAGTGTATCTTTCTACCCATGAAAAAATGTAGCATTTGAGGAACTTGCTGTTTTTTCATTTTTTAATGCTACTGAAAATAGAAAATGTAAATAGCTGGGCAGCAAATACAATGGCAGCATCTTGTTGACCCAGACTTAAAAACTTGAGAGAAATATAGAAGTGTGAAAATCAAAGAGGAAGCTGGAAAGGGACTGTTAGAAAGCAGGTCAGGTACACAGGCAGGTTAAAGGGTTTCCTGCCACTGAAGAACTGACCCATTTTTTTTTCAAAAGGGTAGTATCTCATCGGTATTCTCTGCCCTTTTTCCCTCTTCATTTCAGCTTGATGTTACTGTTTCCTTTCATATAATATTAATGCCCTGATTTAAAAATCTATTATTAGTGATACATCAATTTTTCTTTCTCTCTCCACTCGCTCCCCCCACCCCCAATCTAAGTCTCGAAGACAAGTCTGGACCAATTTCTCCATCCTGCCTCTGGCAGCAGACTGTGGCATTTCAGATCCTCCACCAAGTCCCGGCTGCTTCAAAGGAAAAATCCTACTTTCTTCAGTTAAGATCATAAGAAATATAGGGGGAGGGGGTCAGCTCTGTTTGGACATAATTACACTTCATCAAAAGAAGCTTTCTTCATCTTCCATGCGTGAAAAGTCTGCAAGCAGTTAAGTCTGTCTTTTTTTTTTTTTTAAATATAAAAATTGCTATTTGGGAAACCAGCCAAAACTCAGAAAGCCAATATAGTAAAACAGTGCACACCCTTTGTTTCTCTTTGAAGTTTCTTAAATAAATATGTTGAAGGTTTACAAAGCACACTATCACTTTGCCATAGTTTCTTCTCAAACTGATCAGAGAAAAGTTATGCAGCATCTGTATCATACAAAGGCAAGATAAATGAAAACTCTAGTTTGTATCTGTAAAATGATGTATAGCGCCTGTCTTCTAAATACTAAAATTCAACAAAGTAATATTACATGAGAAGAAAGATGCCCTTCAGAAGATACAAGTAAATCATCATGTTCAAATTTCTCTTCATTCTTACTAGAAAAAAAGAAATTTGAATTGTACAGTGGGCCTGCACAGTAACGGAGGGGAAAAATGAATACACACACATACACACTTTACACCTAATCAGTCAAGAGTGAGATAAGATGTATCTTTTTTTTCCTTTTAATGAAAGTGAACTAAACCTGATGCAGAGATAACCCCTTGAGTTTTGATTCTACCAGAAGCTCTCATTTTATTTCAAGCCTTCAGTGACAGTATCTCATTAGCATGCATCATTTTTTTTTTTAAAGTTAAAAAGTACAACTTCTTGGCCCTGTTCCTAGAAAGTAAACTAAAACTACTCACCGGAAACAGTCTTGCATGAATTTCCCTTATCAAGTTTTTACAATGGTAATAATTTGACATCTGATCCAAACTAAAGGGCAATTATTGGACATGGTTTAAAAATTGATGCTTCTCATTTCCTAACACAAACCTAGGTTGAAGTCATTCCACAGGTCTTTATAATTTATTTATAATTTATTTCACTGCAGTCCTAAAGTGGTCTATTTTCCCTCTTCTCATCAAAATACTTAAAATGGAAATGTCAGATTCAATCAATCAGTAAATGAACATAATACTTCTAATGAATGATGATTAAAAGTCTTGCCACAGAATAAGTAAATAAAAGCCAAAATCTGGCTTTCTTTGAGACCTTTTTAAAAAAATATTAACCGCATTTATGAAACAGCTACGAAAACCCTAAAAGGGATTATTTTCCCTTTTATGATCTTTTTAAGGATTCCTAATATTTGAATGGGAGGTATGGATGGTGGAAACTCTTAAATAATGTGGAAATATTTAGAGTCCCGATCATTCATCTGTCTAGGCAATTCCACGTAGTCATTCTAACATAAGTAATACATTATTCACTTATTCAAATGAAAAGCCTTCTATAAAAGCCTATGATTTTTAAATAAGTTCCTATAGGAGTAAATTAAATCCTACAGAGGTAACATATGTGACAAGTGAAGAGCATTATGCTAGCTGTCCTTGCTACAACTTAGAGCAAAATTGATATTACCAGGAAATTGATCCAATGCACCTCCTTTCCTTTGCCCTTTGCCACTGAATGTACACAGTTATTTGGCTCCTCATAACTCAGAACTTGAACCTCCGACTGTTCTTCCTTCCACCTCATATGCTCACACCCAGTGAAATTAGGAACTGGGCCTTCTGAAAACATTGTTTGAATTTTCAATATCATAAAACAAATGAAAAAGGCCTGAGTACTCACCAAAACACTCAACCTCATCTGGACGTATTTAAAGAAAACTTTCAGTAATTCTATTCAGTAGAAGGTGCTGATTTGTATACAGACTTAGCCTACATTTCATCAGAGGATCCTAACGTGTTTATTCCACTATCCACATGAAAAATCAGAGACCTACCTCTTCCACTCCGGCCGACGAATCTCAGGTCGTTGAATCTTGCTACTTGGTTTTTCATAACAGCAGAGGCATTTCGGAGCTCAGCAGAATAATTTTCATCGTTACCCGCCATGACAGTAACCACAGTCCCATCTGGTACCTCTCCGAGGGCGACCACCTACATAAAACAGGAGAGACGGCAGCAATAATGGCATATCAGAAAAGCGGGAGAACTGAGAACACAGTCTCATCGCAAAGGATGCATTGTATCAGGACTTGGTGCTCCAGACCAGGGATGGCAGACAGGAACGAGGCATCCGCATACGGGTTCGGATGCCACTTCAAACAGGCCGACGTTTCAGGGCCCACCCATTTCAAAGACGTGCAAAAGTTTCCTTCATTTGTTGTTGGACTCTTCACAGAATACATGTACATTTTTATTAAATCCCCATGTGAAGTTGTCCATAGGAATTATGCCACAGAAGGAAAGCTGATGCCCCATGTGCAGACTGCATCATACATATTAAGGCACCGCCTGTCTGCAGCCTGGAGCACCCTGAGGTGTGGTCTCAGCCAGATCATAGGGCACCCCCCGCCCCTGCCCCACAAAAAAAGGAAGTGTGGTCAGCTCTATGGGAGAAGATATTTAGGGGGAACCCTACAGTTCCTGACTACAGGGAAACCTAAATATGGTGTCTTAGCCAGAACTACACTTCATATCCTTACTCTGAGCTGGATATTCAGCATTCACTCACACTGCAAATCATGACAGAATGCCCACTCTGCAGTGGGACCCAGTGGAGTATACAAAGCCGTCATGAGCTTAAAGTCTAGCTACAGGAGTAGAGACACGTAACAGGCTGAAAATGATCACTGACACGAGTGGCACAGACAGAAAATGCACCTTCAGCCAAACTTCTGTCTCATCCTATCTGCCATCTTGGAATGACATACTTGCCTCCTTAATCTTCAGCAGTTAACCTGCAGCCAACTAACCCAGGAAACTCAGGATCCAGAATAATCAGTCTTTGAGGCTAATAAACATTTTCACTGCTACCAGGGAACACACTTTTAATCAGGGTCGGCTAATTTGCAAATAGGTGCCTCTGATTAACATGGAGCCCGGAAGGGACTGTCGGTGCAAAGTCTTTGCTGTCATACATAAAACACACTATTCTTAAACCTATTACCAAGGGCCTGTCTCTTAATAATATCCTTTCTCGCAGCTAACTTCCAGGATCCTATAATATTCAGATGATTTCCATCTCTTACTCATTCGGCTTCCAGATGCCCTTGCGGTGACTAAGCCATGGCTCCAACTGCAGTAACCCCACCATCCTCCAATGACAATACCCATGTGTGCTTGCCTGTCTGGCAAGTATTACCCTCATCCTTCTGTTCCTCCCTCTTTTGTCAAGATGTCCATAAAGCAAACCAAAGCATTTAATTCTGTGCTCCCAATATAATTTGTACATAACTCTCATTAAAGCAGATTTCTTACAGCATGATGAAACAGACATGATCACTATAGTTTAGAGCTGCCTTTCCCCCACCAAGGAAGCCAGCTCCAACACCCCTCCACTCTGCCCTTGGCTCCAGCCAGGGAAACAACGCAACAAACAAAAGCAAAAAAAAAAAAAAGTCAATATATTTTTCATCTTTACTGTTCTTTTAGGCTGTTTCTCAGTTCTATGCCTCCTTTAGTACTCTGCTATTCGGTTTAAAATCTTAAAGCTGTCCTCAAATTATAGAACCCACTTCTACAGCATCCCATTGTACTCAAATAATCCTCATTTCAATGTACATATAGGAATGGCCATCTTACTCTCTTTGATATGCTAGCCCAAAGCTAAGAGACTCTCTCTAGGGGCCCAGATTATATGAGACTAGAAATTACAAGAGGCAAGGGCCTTCATCTGCCTTGTTCACCACTCTATGCTCAGCTCCCAAAACCGTGCCTGACACAGAGTAAGTGTTTGATAAATATTTTTGAAATGAATAAATGAAAGAGCTCCATAAAGAGCATCACGTCCCACTGCCAACAGTCCGTGAGAGAACCAGTTAAAATTTGAGTCAGCACTCCCAGCTAGAGGCAATATGCCCTTGCTCCAAACTAGTTTTCTGACAACTTTTTCCGTCCCAGAGGAGAGGGAATCATGCCCACTGTCCTTTACCCGGAATATATGGTTTCTCTATTCAATCTGAGCAGTCTCCCAGGTCAAGGGTAAATCCCATGAGAGCATGACTTCCTTCCTGCATACTTGATCTAGTGCCTCAAGCAGCTACTGAACACAGGTAACGCTGCACCCCTGATGGGGGCAAAGTACTCATCAAATTTTCAAAGTCACAAGGCCAAAAATGTGCTCATCTGAAAAATACTGAAATAACTGACTGTGTTTGCCAGTATTCATTTGAATGCTTGACATTTTTTACACTCAGCATATTGTGTTTTAACACCTGCTGTGTGGCTTTCTATGTCAAAGTAAATATGGAACCAGTAAGTGTATTAATGAAGGCAGAAAAGTTGGGACTCTTTAGAAGAGAATTAATGCACCAAAAATCAAGAGGCCCCCCTCTTTCCCCCACCTCTGTTACCCTTCTGCCATGATTGCAAGTAACTTCATCTCCTGAAACTACAGTTTTCCAATATATGGAGATAATTTTTTAAAGTCTGTAAAATGTAGAAGATATACCATAAGTATAGAATATAATTATAATGATGTGCTTTTAGTAAGATGAGCAGGCTAACTTCTGTTCCAAGTCGGCTGTGTGCTAAACACAGGCTTTTCCTTATAAGCACCCTTAAAGGGTTCAATTCAATATGTAATTCTTTACTTCATGTCCTGAGATGTTTTTTGGTGTTGTTGAGAGATATAGGACAGCTGATGGGTTTCACTCCAGGCTGGCGAAATTTCTGGAAAAAAAGTGAAGAAATCTGCCCCAATATAAAGATTTTTTAGAGCTCTGGGACATTATTATTTTACTGCATATTTTTAACTTAATGGATTTTTTTTTTTAGTTAGAAGAAAAGGAAAATTAATTCAATATGGGAAAATATGAAAGAAAAGATCCCTAAGCGTGAAATACATAAATCCATTTTTCTTTGCTTAAGCAGTATAATAATGGCCATATTAAATAATGGTATGTTTTATGTATCACATTTAATAACAAAACAAATAGGTCATCACAAATTGTGTGAGTCTTCTATGAGGCTTACAACTTGGCCTGGAAAAAAAATGCTAACTAACAAGATATAGTGATAACTTTTCCTGTTTTGGCTGAATTCTATTTTAGTAGCTAAATATACTGGTTTTTTGGGGTTTTTTTTCTGCTATTCACTCTACCAAATCAGATTGACTAATGTTTTTCTGAGGAAAAAAAAAGGGAGATACAGAGAATATATTTGACTTTATATCAATCAGAAGTGTAATTATATGTTTGAGGGTTTAAAAAAAAAAAAAAAGAAGTAGATCTCTGAAGCTAAAAAGTTTCCCTTGCAGATTCTCAACTGTGTTTATCTAAAAGAAAACCAAAAGAATCAAGAAATTTTTATACATTTCATCTGCACCAAACCCAAGCAATGGAAAACATTTTAAGGGGTAGAGAGCAATCAAAAATCACCTTTTAACTAGTTAGTTTAGCACTCAAAATTTTGTTTCCACACCACCCAATACAAAAGTTCTGTTCTGCAGAGAATAATCTGTGATGAAACTTTAACAGTTACTTTTCTAGGTGCTTTTCAAACATAAAATCTACCAATTCAAGAAACTTCATGGGGAAGAGGGAAGTAATTTTGTGTCCTGACATTTCAGAAGAGAAAGAAGTTCCTTTATTTAGCACACCTCACCGATAACTAGCATTTAAATCACATGATACAGAGCTTGTGAAAAATAAAGTAAAAGGATATTTAACTCTAAAAACGCTATTGAAAATTTTTATGAGGGTTCCTCTGACTAAATCTGTGAGCTACTCTGAAAGAGGAACAATGGAGAATTAACTCAGGCCCTTAAAATTGTTTTTGTGGTCTTATTATATGGAAATTTAAATTGCTTATGACATTTCCATAGACAGAAGTCAAGTCTTCACTAATCAATTACTCTTAAAGACCAATATCACTTGGACACACTGTACTTGCAGCAAAATTGAAATATAATTATTTTTCAAGATAGAATCTGACCAAATCTATCTTTGGAATAAAAAGAAAGGTAAGGGAGTAATTGCAGAAAGGAAAAGTTTTATTCCTACAGCAAATATTTAAAGGCAACTTTAAATAAACAATCACAAAGTTTCACAAATATTAGTTACTTTTAGACTCTAACCTAGAATTCAAAAAAACCTGATTGAACCATAGAGAAAAGAGTAAATACAATATAAAATAGCATTTCTTAATTTTTATACTAGATGTCAAAGAGAAATTTGATGGGAATTATTTCAGTTTAAGCCAGAAATTCACGAGCCATGTATCAAGCTGATTTAGAGCATCAAACAATGGATATTCTGGAATTCTAAAAAGATAAAAATAGCAATGCCAAAGGGATGAAAATAATGAATGACATTTTATCACGCCTGTTTTCAAATACAAGTTTTTTTAATTTTTTATTTCTTTTTCATCTAAAACTATTTGTTTCCATTACCTGACCAGTAAGTTTTATATATACTCAATCCTAAAATTTTTAATTTTAAATAATTTTTCTTGCATCTAAAGGCGTAACATAAAAATAAGCCTGTCTTCAAACAACTTGAAATCTATTATGATGTACACAGTTTTGCACAGCAACTCAGAGTAGGTTTAGCAAAGTTTTAACAGGCTTAAAAACCTGTTTTCTTTGTTTGGGTATAATTACATTAAAAAGACACAAACATAAAATCTGATCACTATGTAAGGAAAATACAACTCATTATGTCAAATAGGTATTAGCTACATACTTGCTTATGAAGAGAAAAATGGCCAATGATGTCAAAAAAATTATTTTCAAATAGAAATTGCTCCATCATTTTGAAACCCTACTTGTGACAAATACTGAAAGGTATTATTAAACATGCAGAATTAACTATGAACAATATATCATATATCGAAAAATGTGTTTTCTTTCTTTAACACTGCCAGAAAAACATATGATCCTGGTAAATATACAGACTAGTGTTCACTAACTTAAAGCAGTGCAATAGTCTTACACTACTTTTGACTTAAAATACACATCTGGACTTAAAATTTCTGCATTGTGTTTCAGCTTGAAGCTATTTAAAGCAACTGAGTTACGAACCCTGAACACCAAGCTTCAGGATAAAAATGCTGATAGACGCCTAACTTACAAGGGTGCTACTGACTACAGGGCTAACATGTTCTCCCCACTATTTCTACCTGACCATTAACTAATACAATGAATTTGCATATCGCTTTCTCATCACTGCAACTACCCAAGACAGAAAGGGCCTGGGATCCTCTAATAGTATGCCTTAACTATTTTAAGCTTTCAGTGACATACACCTGAGAAAAACGTTAAAAATATTTATTTCCATTTCCTTGACACCTGGGAGGACTGAACATTTCAAAACTGCAGAACTTTGTTAAAAATATAACGCCAATAAACAACTTGGTGTAGTTTAAAGCATACAAGTTGTTTTTGCACTTTTACATGTCAGCGTATAAATGAATTAAGTACTCTCGTATAATTCCAAAACAAGATCAGATGAACAACGCGAGTACATGACATGTCTTAATGCAATACACTACCAATATCATTTTGAAGCACTGCTTTAAGTTAACATATCAAAACACAGTCTACTGAATTCATTTCTGATCTTCTACTTTGCAGAGCTCAGTGTCACAGGCATAAAATATGGGCTCAATAAATATTATATTGATTTGAATACCAGACTTCTCAACAATTAAGTTCTATATTAAATATATTTACCTGTCTGCTATCTACCCAACAACACTATAATTTACTTTGTACATAGCTCTGAATATGATAGCCAAATTGCTGTCACCACTTTTAAAACTGAGACTTCTTCATATTACTTCTTTGCAGATGTATTTGATTATGTTGCAAGAGTCTAGAAAGTCTACCACTCACAGGCTTTTATCTCGAAAGTAAGGTAAAAAGAGGTTGATTTTACTAACATTCAGATGAAAACAAACAAACAAAAAATACTGTCAAAATCTGGATGTTCCGAGTATCTACACATCTTTTTTCAGTAGAGACAAAACTTCTATACTGAGTGGATGTCAGCTGTAAGCCACTATTTGAATTTTGTTAAACACAAGTTTAGGGAGGTGGGAAAACATGAGTCAAGTTTTAGGTTAATTCAATTTATCTTTCAGTTAATACAAATTAAAACATTCAATTTAATATGGCCATGTGTTATCTATGGTTTTGTTTACTGGTTAAAAGTAAAATTACTCTATAATTAAAAATAAGTATGATGAAAAACAGAGAAAGCAATTTATTTTCAAAATAATTTTAAAAGGGTGGTAGTGAGAAAACCTAAAGATAGCCAAAACATCTGAGAACAGCTCAAACTAAATTGCATTCTATCTTTATGCCAAAAAGAGCCTTTCTAGTCAAAGTATTAATGCTCAGAATCAATTCAACACCATAAATGCAAGAGTAGAGTTCAAGACATTATACCTTAAAACCATGTTTAGCAAAACTAACGGAATGCAGAATATCAAACATCTAGAGCCTTAATTTTTTCATGTCCTGACTTCTGGCATTTTACATATATAATATCTACTTATTTTTATTATTTGCAGTTTTCGTCCAGGGCTTTTTGTTTGTGTTTTGAGGGGATCTGGGGGGGGAGGGAGAGGTGGGTGGAAACAAATATCCACTCTCACATAAGGCTAAGTAGAAAATTCTGGACCCTTGGACGATGAATTGTAAAAGATATCTCTCACATGAAAATCCACATTTCTACGATTCACCTATATTCTGAGCTTTCCATATTTCAAGGAAGGAACGCTTAACCTACAAAATGGGTGGTTTATAAAAGGAGAAATGGGACGGTTAAAACACACACGTTTCTTGAGCCAACTGCAAAATGAAACTTGCCCCAGAATGCAACATCCCCTTTCCATAATAATTCATTCTGATTCCTGCTCCGATAGGAGACCTAGCGAGATAACCAGCTCTAACTGACCTGGACTCCTCTTTCGTCCCACCCCACCCACACACGGAATCTGAATTGGTGCGTGGGGCACGGGGGTGGTCAACAGCAGGGACCTGCCAGTGGCCCGTGGGAGTTTGGCCCCAGGGTCCACAAGGGAGGAACTGGCGGGATTCCTCCCTCCCCCCTCCACCCCACCCCAAGGCCTGGTTTACCCTGCTCTCCACAATGCCAGAACCCATGGGACCCAGGCCCACCTTCGCGGGTTCAGAGGCTAGACTGGACCGGAAGCATCTTTCTGCGAGCCCTCTCCTCCGCGTCTGGCTCACCACCCCCTCCATCCCAAGCGCCTAATCCCTTGAGGAGGCAGGGCCGGGTACCCAGTCTCTCCTGCAACCCGGGACGCTCCCGGCCCTGGGGGCTCTGCGAGGGGGCGAGGGCTGCCGGGGACGGGGGGACCCCAATTGCATCACAGAGAGACTCCGGACCCTCAAACCCTCAACCTGCCGAGCCGCTGCCCGCGACTCGGGACTGCTGACATCCTCCCTCCAACTAACGGGCCAGGCGGACCGAGGAGGCCGCCGCGGGACGCGCGGGGGGTGCTCTCCAGCCTGGGAGCCACTGCCTCGGCGCCCAGGTCGCTGACCCGAGCCTCCCCCGACCTTTCAGAAGCGGGAGGGGCCTTTGGGGTCTCAGTCCTTAAATTAAGAAAGAATAAGGCGAATCTCACAGTGTCACCTCAGTTTTCCAGGCGGGCGAGCCGAAGGCATTTCGCAGGTTTCCCTTCAGCCTCGCGGCGCGGCGAGCCCCCGCCCCCTCCCCTGGCCCGCGCCGCCTCGCACTCGAGGGTCTGGCTCCCGGGTCTCCCGGGCTCCCCCGCCTCCGGGCGCGCGGCGACCCCGGCGGCCCCGCCTTCCTCCGTAGCGGGAATCGGCGCGGGTCTGCAGGCTGAGAGGACGCCCCCGTCCCGTCTTCCCATCACTCGCTCCTCGGGTCCCAAAGTTTGCCCGGACCCTCTCGGACACCCGTAATGCGGCCCACGCGCCGCCGCCAGCAACCGGCACCCGGCGCCCCGCCCCGGGCGCGAACGCCCGGCGCCGGCACCCCACTAACAGCGGCCCCCGAGCCCGGGAAGGGCCGGGACAGCCAAGGCGCAAGCCGGTCAGAGAAGGGGGCGCCGAGACCCGCGGAGGGCGTTCGGGTGGGAGGGGAGGAGAGGGTAGGAGCTCGCGGAATCCCGAGGAGGGGCGGCGCGGCGGCCCGCGGTGCAGGCTCGGCCGGGATGCCGGGGACCAGGGCGCGGGAGTCTCAGGGGAGAACGCCGGGTATCCTCGCCCCGGAGGAGTGGGGGGCGGGGTGGAGCTCGTCCCGGCGGAGGCGCCGAGAGTGGGCACCGGGGGACTCCTGGGGGAGGAGAGATCGGCTCAGAGGAGTGGGTCGGGACGTTGGCCGGGAGGCTCGAGGGGTGATGAACGGATAGAGGGGGACACGGGCGGCGGTGGTGGCTGCGGGCACAAGTGGGAGTGGGAAGGATCTGTGCGGGATCACTAACGCGGCGAGCCCAGCTGGGGGGTCCCGAGGAAGAGGGCCAGACGGGGGTCCCTCAGGTCGGAGCCACCGAGGTAGGAGCGTTGGAGGCCTCCCGGGTCGGGACCCGGGCCCCCGCGGGCTCCGTGACGCCTGCGGGCAGGTCCCGCGGCGCCGAGCCGGGGGCGGGCGGGGCGGGGGGCGGCCGCAGTTTCTTACCTTGAAGGCCACTGGCAGGGTCTTGTTGCAGCGCCAGTGCGAGGGCAGCACGGAGCACAGGAAGTTGGGGCTGTCGGTGCGGACGAGTTCGGCCGGGTGGTCAGCGATGATCTCCACCATGGTGCGGTTGTCGTGCGGCGGCCGCAACCGGGGCACCGCGGCGGCCGCCGCCGCCGCCGCCGCCGCCGCTGCCGCCGCCGCCGCCTCCTGCTGCTGCTGTTGCTGTTGCTGCTGCTGCTGTTGCTGCTGCTGCTGCTGCTGCTGCGCAGCCACCACCGGGCTCACGTCGCTCATCTTGCCGGGCTGCAGGCTGCTGGAGGGGGGGCTGAAGCGCCGGCTGGTGCTCGGATCTACGGGAATACGCATCACAACAGCCACAAGTTAGCGAAGTGGCCGGGGGAGGGGGAGGAGGGTGGAAATGAGGGGCGAGGAGGAGGAAATTGGGGGGGTGGAGGCGAGACGGGGGAAAAGGGGCTGGAGGTGATGGGGCTGAGGAGGTGAGAAATCAAGTTCGATGAAGCCGACTGCCGGGCGGAGTCTGACGGGAGCCAGCGGCGGCGTTGCAGAGCAATCGGCTTGGCGGGTGGGGAGACCCGAGAGGCGCAGGTCTTGACGGAGCCTTTGGAACACCCGGGTGGCAGCTGCGAACGGGCACCGGGACGTGTCTGGCCGGGGCAGGCGGGAGGCTTCAGTCTGCAGCAACTTGGAGTCGGGTCCCCTGGGGCACCGCGTCCTGGGTGCGCTGGCGCCCCCTCCCAGTTCCAGTCCGGCGGTGGAGCCCAGTGGGTTCAGCAGTCCAGCCCCAAGGCCAGGATCGCCGCGCGCTGCCCGCCACCGCCGCTCCGCTCCGCGCCGCGCGCAGCTACCCAGCTGCAGGCGTCCGCGCCGCCGCCCGCCCGCCCGCGCCGCTGCCGCCGCCGCCGCCTCCTCCGCGGCGGCCGCCGCTCCCCCCGCGCCGGCTGCGCACTCAGATTCCTCCCGCGGCGGCTGCCAGCCCGGCTCCCCGGTCCGGCTCCTTCCTTTCCCTTCTCCTCTTCTCGCCCTCTCACCGCCACCTCCTCGCATCCACTCCCTCCTGCTCTTTGCAAAGCTCCCCTGACCCTCGCGCTTCGAGGTGCCAGGAGGTAAGTCGCGGGCAGCGGATCTCGGGGCAACGGATCTCGAGGCTGCGAATCGCAGCCGCTGCCGCCGCCCGCCGGCCGCGAGAAGGAGCCCCCGGGACGCCGCGCGCAGCTTCGGAAGCCGAGAGAGGCGGCCCCGGGCTAGCGGGATCTCGCCGGGTCGCGTCTTCTTGCTTCTCGCCCTCTCCTCCCAGGCCAAGGAACCCCCTTCTTGGTCTAGGGAGATTGAAGCTGAGATGCCAGAGAGCCGCTGGCTGATCTGACTGTCGTTATTTTTCGTTTTAACTTCAGGAGAGGAGGAAGGAAAATTCTTGAGCGTCTGTGCTGACTTCTCAGCACTCTTCACCCTTCCCCCACCCTACTCCCCCCCCACCCCCCACCTCTGCCGGAGCGGCTCCCGAGGGAAAAAAAAGATTTTGCAGGGTTTGGGTGTGTTTCTTTTTCTTTTTTTTTTCACTTAAGTGACACAAAAAATTGGGATGGAGGGGACACTTGTCAAAATAGTTTTAGAAACTCAAGTGGGTGTTGGACACTTTTTTCTTCTATATTCAAACTAGTCGTTCCTAGAGAACAAGAATGAGTTTTTTTAAGGACTGGAAAACTGTCAGCTTGATGATTAAAATAAGTTGCAAAAACCCTTGCTGGGGGAAAACCCCAGCAGTTTTCCATGAATTTCAAATTTTTATTGTCTATTCTGCATTTAAAACTAGGTCTAAGGTCTTCACTTTCTCCCCCACCAGTCCCGGGGGAAAAAAATTAAAAGTACAAAATAAAATATTCAAAATGTTTCAATGGCTATTTATTTATGTATTTATTTCCCAATGTGGGTTTAAAAAGCGACTTTGGATCCCCCAAAAAGTTGTGGTCGAGAGGATGAAGGAGCGCAGAAAAAAAGCAGCAGTTTTACCTAAAATGTGGTTTTTGGAGGCTGGGATTTCTAATGATTAGGTTTTTGTGGTTTATATAGACACGACTCTGGCTAAGGCGATCATTACGCTGATGAGAGTCAGAAGCACGTGGGTGTCTCCGACCAGCCTCAAACTCTGAGCCTTCAAAACAAATAAAACAATGTGCGGCGCCCGCAGAAGCCGGGAAATCCGCTTGAGGCTATTGCACCCCTAAAAAGGGGGCACCGGGCTGTTTCCCCTCCTCGAACTGTACTACTAAGTTTCTGGCTGTCAATCTCCTTTAAACCTCGCAAAGCTTGAAAACGTGTCTGTAAGAAGAATCATCCGTTGCCAAAGTTTCAAAGACGCCTAACAGGGTAACTGACACTACACAGTAATAAGCGACATTATAAAAGAAATGAAAAGTTATAGTGCCTCCTCTTCGGAGTATTCAGGAAGATAGTTGAGTCATCACTCATCCCCACCCCACCCCCATCTTATTTAAACCAATTCACATACCCATTAATCGGCGTTTTTATTGCTCTGCGCAAACGCCTCTCTCACCCTGGTAGCGACCTGCCACGACCCTCCCTCCTGGTTTTTAAAACATCGCTTCCACGCGCCCAGCCGGCGCTTGGGGGGGTCTACGCCTTTGAAAGGGCCTGGAAGAGAGAGCGTGGGGGCCGCGGCAGAGGGGACCCGGTGCCTGTCCAGGACTCTGAGCCTATTTCAAGAGCAAGATGAACTTGGAGGGCTGTAGTTGCCTGGTTTGGGGACCACGAAAGAGATGCCCTCTAAAAAGATGCTCCTTCGACTAAGGGGCTTCCAACAGTGCGAGCGGAGGCGGGGGCGGGGATGGCCAGGCTAGGCGAGCTCCGTCACGGGGGTAAGGATGGGGTTCAAGGGACACTGCTCCGTCTTTCCTCTTTGGGGCTTATTTTTACCTTCCCTTTCCCCATCGACAACTCCACGCCTTCCTCGTCCGACTTCTCCTTCCCCAAGTTTCTCTTCGCGTTCCCGCCTCTCCTCCCCAAACCCCCGCAGATTCGAGCCGAGCCGCCGCGCCCCCGCGTAACTCATTCTGCATCACCTGCTAGGACACCCCCCTGCCCAACCTACTCCTCGACCCCAGACTACTGGCTCCGAGCCCGGGCGCCAGCGGGAGGTGAGAACCCACTTATCACTACGGACTTGATGCGCAGCGAGGAACGGTGCTGTCTCCAGCGCGTGCGATTTTTAATTATCTTTTCGGTCACAGGGGAGAGCTCTAACCCTGGACACCGCCGCGCCACCGGCGCGCACGAGGGTCGGGTCTTCCCCAGCCGCACGCGGCGGACCAGCAAAGGGAAGCCAGGCTTACCCCTCAAAAAGACAGAAGAGAGACCAGATTGCTTCCATTAATTTTCTACCTTATTCCCCCCACCCCTGCCTCCACTTAGTCACATGCACTGGGGCACACACGCTCACACATCCCCACGCCGATACAGAAATACACACACACAACTCATACACAGGACTTTTCTTTTTCTTTCTTTCTTTCCTTTTTTTTTTTTTTTTTTTTTTTGCCTTTCAGCGGGACAGTTTTATTTCGGGCACGTTGTACCTCAGTCTATCAAAGATCTCTGATTTGGTTTGTTGCCTTTTTTAATGTGTAGGGGCTGCAAAGGAAGAGAGAAGTTACCGGAAGCTGATTATTTCTGTGGTCAAGGGAGATAAAATTTCACTATTAATACCACAGTCTGTGTTATGCTGTCTTCTCTGGGGTTGTCCTTCTCCCTGGAAATCCGCAGAACCGGCGACTACCAGAAAATGTAGTGACGCTAAGTAACAGTCAGTATGTCGAATATGGGCGACCAGACGGGTTCCTTTTTGAATAAGAACCTCTAGGGCAGTTGAACTTAAGTAATCATTTTGGGGGCTTTTCCTCTTTCTTCATCGCTGTTTTGTTTTACTTAGTGGATAGCAAAATATGCAGGCCTCAATGTTTGGGTGCTTTGACTGGGGATTTTAAGGGTGATTTAATCAATGTTGAATTATTTATTTTAATTAATCATATCCGGTAATTCAGCTTTATAGCCTGTCCTTGGACATCCTCCCTTCTTTTCACATTTCAGTGGAGCTAATATAAGCAACTCTTGGAAGTTACTAGTCTTGGATCCCTTAAAATATCCTACAGTTATTTATAATGTGGAAATGAAATTTTCCACTGAATACCCTAACAACGTTTCAGGTATCTGGCACAGCAGATTTTCAGTCTCCTTTCAAAAATATCCTCTTGCTGAACATTCACACTTTCAACTGGAGCTGACGGAGCCTGGAACTGATGATGTCTTGGCTCAGAGAGTTATTCTTAAAGGAAGAAAACATTTTTACAGACCCCTAAACTGAACCTCTCCTGGTAATAGTAGGCACAGAGGGAAACTGTGAAATTTTACATGTGTGTATTTTGTGCTGTAGTTTGCATGAGCTCACTCTTGGGTTTAATTTTTTTTTCTACCTCAAAATGTTCAGAAGAAATCACCCACTAGATTCCTCTTCAGAAATATGCCTCTCTTCTGTTCTACGTTATGGCATTTAAAAACACACACATTTTTCTGAACATGTAGCTATTCCAGAAAATACAGGCATAATTTTCCCCTCCATCTCCTTTAACATTTAATGTAACTGTTTAGTAACAACACCTGGAAATCCTGACTTTCCAGACAAAGAAAATGAGATGTGAAACAGTCGAGTTATTTATCTAGTGAAAGAACTGAGTTCTCAAAACTGAGACCAGAAGCTGTGCTTCTTTCATTCAGGTTTTCTCTTCTAATTGCTAAATCATTTTATATATATTTTTTCTTGATGAAAAGTGAAAAAGTCACTGTAAAATCGTCATCTAGTTTTCAGTGGGTCAGCTGATGAAGTGGGACAACCTTTCAGACATGCAGTGAAAAATCATGACATATTGATGATCACTAAAGTTTTGAATGGTTGGATGGGAAAACCTTGTAAACAAGACCATCTTTACAGAGTTTCCTTTGGACTTAGTGAAATTCACTCAGCTCTTGCAGAAGTAGCATTGCCAGTAAGCCAGGAATTGTCACATTACAGTCCATAGGCCAAATCTGGCCCAACGCCTATTTTTGTATGATCCACAAATTGGGGTTTTTGAATTTTCAGATAGAAAACAACTGGGAGAAGAATAATACTCATGACATATGAATCTGATATAAATTCAAATTTCAGTGTCCACAGTTTTATTCATACAATTGTGTAGTTATGGAAAGGACTACGTGGCCTGAAAAGCCTAAAATATTTAATATCTGTTTTGTTTTTTTTTTTAACAGAGAAAGTTTGCCA